TATAGTCAGAATTTTAATTAGATTCCAGATTTGACAATAGCTACTGTCATTTTGTGAAATAATGATACCACATATTATAATAGTGTAGTGATGAACACAAAAATCGATAAGCAATCAGTGTGTGTTTTATAATAAATGTTACAGAAAGTGACAGGATAGCGATGACGGCGACAATTTATAAAATAACTTATTACCATAATACATCTATCCGTTTTATTTGTCATGTTTCTTCATGATTGCATTTTTTTATTTATTTCACACACAATTATAAAATAAAAGTCTCAGATATATTTAATTTCCAAAAATACTTAGTATACGAGAATAAAATTATAAACATGAGGAATCGATCCAGAAATATTGCATTTCCATATCGAATAATTTCGCAACGTCACTATTTAGTACTTGTCATAACGTTGCAACACTGAAATTGTCAAATCTGGAATCGAATGAAAATTCCGAGTATACTAGCCGCATTGTCAATGTGAAACGTTTTACCTTGGATGGTACCAATGGACGGTCGTTTTTTTATTTTTTTTTTTTAAGGGGGAATATCATCGTATTACTGCTCCCGCCTGGGTGAGGCGGGAGGGAGTGTCAGACTCTTACTGGCTAAAAACCACCCCGTTCCTTCTCCTGCACGCCGAGCCGGAGCCCCGGTTAGCCGTTAGGTTCTCCGCGACACCAATGGATGGTCTGGGTGACCATTGTCATATTGTTGTACTGTTAAATGCAATGTTATACCAAGATAGCGGCTATACAAAGGTATCAACATAGTCGAAAATTTCGTGCAGCTGTCATCTTGGTTTTACATTTTGAAAGTACTATCGGTTTTACATCCTTAGAAAACTACGAAAATGATTCCCATGACGAAAAAGTAAATAAAATTTTGCAGCCGCCATGTTGAATTTACATTTTGACAGCACTGTGAGTATTATTACCCTTGAAAACCACGAGAACAACATCAAATAAGAAAACAATATTATTACGTCAAGCAGAGTCGCTCATGTTAAATTTTGTAACTATAAATTGAGCATGATAACCACTATCAACCAATAATAACGCATAGCTCCGAAAACTGCCTGATTTTGACCCCGTCGTATTCAATTCAGCTAATCGTTTAGCATTTGTGGCATTTGTATTACTAAACGCGCATGGTTTGCTAAACGGCTAACAGTAATGTAATACGGCAGATTATTCAATTCGCCTGAGACATACAGGGTGACTTGTAACTCGACGTCTTTCTCTCAGGAGGCAATAATACAAACAATTTAAATGTAAATAAATGAAAATAAGGTAACTCCCCATAAAAGTCTCGTCAAAATCGGTCCAGCCATTACAGAGTAATAACAGTTAAAACTTATGTATTTCACAAGTGCCTAGTCACATAAAGTTGTCGCGGAGAACTTAACGGGTAACCGGGGCTCCGGCTCGACGTGCAGGAGAAGGAACGGGGTGGTTTTTAGTCAGTAAGAGTCTGACACTCCCTCCCGCCTCACCCAGGCGGGAGCAGTCATTCGATGATTTTCCCACCTTAAAAAAAAAAT